TTGGCTAGATGAATTTTCATTGTTAACATTTAACATTCAAAGTGACTATTAAACAGAGTGGGATATATTAAAATAACATTTAGCACCTTTTACTCTTCTATTTTGAAGAAACACAATTTTTGGACTTTCAGTCTAGCTGGAAGCATAGGTAAACACACTTCGCCTCTGCATACAACTATACCAAAAATTACAACTAGACTACAAAACTAGTATCTGCCAGAACTGTCAGATAATTGAGCTATATGAAAGTCTGACAACCAAGGAGTTAAAGAAGCTACATTCATTCAGATGGTTAGGAGGGGTGGGGACTTGGGGAGGCGGCTGAATGCATGGTCCCACATTCACATGTGGTGGATAAAAATCGGGAGGGATATCTGAGGAGTGAGTGATCCCAGCCACACAACAGACCACCTAGCCCAGGACTGCAGTATAAGGAAGATAAGTCCCCATCACTTCTGGCTATAAAAACCAGTGGGGGTTGGGGTGATAGAATAAACTGTGGGATTCTCAAGAGACTCTACTTAAAGGGCCCACAATGGACTTAGGCCCACATTGGGCCTTAGGCCTCATGCAGGCCCACACCCTTTGGGATTCAGCACTAGGGCAACAGCTGGAAGGCCACATGGTATGTGGGGTAAAGGGGAGAGAGTGAGGTAACTGGCAGCAGGGTGAGTGCTGAGAGACAGCTTCCAATCCCAGGTACTCTCCAAGGGCAGATAGTGGTATTGTCTCCTCTCTGAGCCAACTCCCCCCTAGCGCCCCCCCCCCCCCCCCCCCCCCCGCACAGAGCCACAAAGTGATGAAATGGGTTTCCCCACCCTGACAATTACCTAGACTCTGCCCCGCACAATTTACAGGTGCCTTTTCTACAACAGGCCACATTACTAAGACAGGAAGTCAAAGCAGCTCTACCTAATACACAAACAAACACAGGGAGGCTGCCAAAATGAGGAAACAAAGAAACATGCCCTAAATGAAAGAAGAGAACAAAACTCAAGGAAAAGAAGTAAATGGAGATAAGCAACCTATCAGATACAGACTGGTGATCAGGATGCTCAAAGAAATCATTGGATACTGCAACAGCATAAGAAAGACTCAGGCAGAAATGAAGGTTCCATTAAACAAAATAAAGAAAAATTTACAGGGAACCAACAGAGAAGGGATGGAAGCCAAGAATCAAATCAACAATTTGGAACAGAAGGAAGAAAAAAGCATTCAATCAGAACAGCAAGAAGAAAAAAAGAATTAAGAAAAACAATGATAGAATAAGGAGACTGGGACATCTCCAAATGTACCAACATCCAAATCATAGGGATGCCAGGAGGAGAAGAGTCACAGCAAGAAACTGAAAACTTATTTGAAAAAATAATGAAAGAAAATCTTTCTAATTTGGTGAAGGAAATAGATATAGAAGTCCAAGAAGCACAGAGAGTCCTACACAAGATGGGCCCAAAGAGGACCACACTGAGACACACCATAATTAAAATGTCGAAGGTTAAAGATAAAGAGAGAATCTTAAAGTACAGAACCCAGCAGGGCAGATGCATGAAAGGCAACCATACATTGATGTTTCTCTCCCTCTCTCCTTCCCTTCCCCTCTAAAGATAAATAAATAAAATCTTTAAAAAAAAAAAAAAAGTAGCAAGAGAAAAGCAGATAGTTATCTACAAAGGAGTTCCCATATGACTGTCAGCTGATATAGGCTAGAAGGGACTAGCAAGAAGTATTAGGAATGATAAAAAGCAAAAACCAAGAACCTAAAACCTAGATTACTCTATTCAGCAAAGCTGTCATTTAGAATGGAAGGGCAAATGAGGCTTCCCAGACAAAGTAAAACTAAAGGAGTTAATCATCACCAAGCCATTATTATATGAAATGTTAAATATTTAAGAAAGGAAGATAAAAACTATGAGCATTAAAATGGCAAGAAATTCACAACTATCAACAACTGAATTTAAGAAACAAACTAAGCAAAAAACACAGATGGGGGCTGACCTTGGCCTGCACCACACGGGAAACCCCAGGGCCAGTGTCCCCAGGGACATCTACACAGCACAGTGGAACACCACCATCCTGTCTCTGCACAGTTGATTCTCCACACAGGGCGAAGGTTGGTGGGCAGTGGTCACAGCCATTCCCTGTAGCTTACTGGCCTAGGTAAGTTCCTTCCATTGATCTACCAGCAGCAACCAAGGCTCAACTATAAGAGGAAGGTGCACTTAGCTCACACAATGGGTGCAACTCGAGCATCCATCTTGGGTGATGGGAACCTGTGCCACTGGACCCTACAGGACACCTACTATATTAGGCCACACCACCAAGACACGGGGTTAAAGTAGCCCTACCTAATAATACATAGAAACAAACGCAGGGAGCTACCAAAACAAGGAGACAAAGAAACATGGTCCAAATGAAAGAACAGATCAAAACCCCAGAAAAAGAACTAAACAAAATGGAGACAAGCAATCTACCAGACGCAGAGCTCAAAACACTGGTTAGAAGGATGCTGAAGGAACTTAAGGAGGACTTTAACAGCATACAAAAGACCCAGTCAGAAACAAAGGATACACTAATTGAAATAAAGTACAATTTACAGGGAATCAGTAGTAGAGGGATGAAGCCAGGAATCAAATCAATGATTTGGAACATAAGGAGGCAAAAGCAACCAATCAACAACAAGAAGGAAAAAGAATCCAAAAAAATGATGATGGTATAAGCACTCTTGGGACAACTTTAATTAATTCAACATAAGCTTCATAGGGGTGCTGGAAGGAGAAAAAAAAAGAGCAAGAAATTGGAAATCTATTTGAAAGAATAATGAAAAGAAACTTCCCTAATTTGGTGAAGGTAAAAGACATACAAGTCCAGGCAGCACAGAGAGTCCCAAACAAGATGGACACACAAAGAGGCCCACCCCAACACGCATCATAATTTAAATGCCAAAAGTTAAATATAAAGAGATAGGGGGGTGAGTATGGGAAAATGGGGGGAAAGGTGCAGGAATTAAGAAGTTCCAAATGTTAGGTACAAAATAGGGGAATCTTAAGAACTGAATAGGAAATGGAGAAGCCAGAGAACTTATATGCATGACCCATGGACATGAAATAAGGGAGGGGATTGTTGGAGGGAGTAGGGGTACTGGACGGAGGAGGGCAGGGGGGAAAATTTGGGACAACTGTAACAGCATAATCAATAAAATATATTAAACAACTTTTGAAAACTTAAAGATTTTATTTCTTCTAGGTGATTTAAGTATTAAATGTTAGAAATATTTCTTCATTAGCTGTTATTGAGGCAAAAAAAGTGGAACCGTTGGAAACCTCATTTATTACTTAAGCACACTGCATGTGTGAGCACATATTCACAGGTCATAGCGTCCGTGGTAGCTGTAGATACACTAACAGCAACAGACCCGATTTCCCTGACTGTAATTTTGTCCTGTGTAAATGTCAGCCAAATGTTGACTTGTCGTTATGTGTACTGAAATAATAATGTTAATTTTTCTGCTTCGCTAACATGCATGAATAAAATAAAGTAGAAAAACAGAAGACGTTTGCAACTCTTGGTAACCAAAACAGAGATTGGATAATAAGGCTGTACTACATGCTGCCAGAGAACTCTTTTATAGTGATACTAATCTAAAGTGACTACCAGAAAAATATATTTTTATGAGGGAAAAGTTTTTTAAATTTGAGGAACATAATGTTGTAAAATGTTTAGAAAACTGTAATTATTTTTTACCTATGTGTTAATATTTTACTTTTGGTATTTTGCTTTAGGTAATTGTACAGTTCTTTGAATTGTTTTTCTTTTATTTTACTTTTCAATTACTGTTGACATTCAGTATTATTTTGTATTGGCTTCCGGTGTATAACTTAGTGGTTAGACAGTCACATACTTTACGAAGTGATCCCTTTGATATTTCCAGTACCCACCTGGCACCATACACAGTTATTACAATATTATTGGCTATATTCCCTGTGCTGTACTTTACATCCCCGTGATAAATTGTTTTTCACTCTGATAATCCAACAGCAGCATCTCTTTTTAGTGCATATGTGATGTGTTTGATTTTGCTTGTTATTTTGTACAGAGCAAGTTGTAACTTCTGTTTAGAAAATCAAAAAACACTGTCACATTTAGAAGATTTTTGTGAGCCCTGACCAATACGTATAACTTGAATAGTCTATCAAAATTCTCCTGTCAAATTTGTAGCTATATTGAATTTTTCAAGCTAGTGAGGATAATTTTAAAAGTGCTTGTCATAATTTCCTCTTCCTGGGTAACCTTACTATTTCTCAAATTCAGACAAGCCCTTTTTAATGGCATCAGTTTCCAAACTCATACCCAGGGCTTAGGATCAAAGGTAATCACCATCAGATGTCAAAGTCCATGCAAGACTATAGATCTTTATTTTGCCCCTTGCTGTGTAGAAGTTTCTTGTGTTTAAATTTTAACTAGTCTTTAGAGCAATTTCTTGATAGGTAAGTTAGTTAATCCTGATAAGAATGTGTATTATTTTTAGGTTCTTTCTTATATGCAGTGGCTTCTCTAAAAAATCTGAAGATTATATTAAGCACTGGTTTTCATGGTTTGCATAATGTCTTTATCTGGAAAATATAAAGTCACCTCATATTTACTCATAGAGTTAGAAATGGACTTAATCTGAAGGTTTCATTGTACTTTTTTTCTTGAATAATTAGGAATTAACTATAAAGTGCTTTGTGTTAGAAGTTTTTACTACCTAATACAGTTTCTTCCATAGGTTAGCCTCTCAATAAATGTCTACAAAGACAGTCTTTTGTTCTAGGTTACTCAACACCAGGAGCATAAAGGATTATATATGTACATACATATATTTTCCTAACTGCCATTTGGGTTCTTAATACCAACTTTACTTTTGGAATATTCCTTACTTTGTATAGTATACATCATCACTGTGAAGGTGAAGTTGCCTTTCTTAAATGTTTATTTATTCATTTTTTTCCCTTTTTTAACAGGGGGAAATGCACTGTTGCCCTTCTGAATGAGACAGAGTCAGTATTGTCATATCTTGATAAAGAGGTAATTTGCAATTATACTTGTATTGTCCTTTTTCTCTTTTATTTCACATGAAGCCTCTACCTTTTAATTTATTTATTTTTGTACAAAATTATTACACTGTCATAGTGGGATAATAGTAGACATATAATGACTGGAATGCATTTGGGTAATTTGATTTTTCTGGTGAATTGAGACAAGAGTTGACAAACACTCGTGCATCTGTCTCTCTTCAGTTGGTAATGAAACTCTTTGTAAAGTATTGCACATGATTTCGCTGGTAGTAGAAGGAATATTTTTGGCTTTATGAAAAATGACTTTACTGTAATTGGTCCTCCTTCTGTCTTTTGTTTGTTTTTTAATAAGTAGCTTTTCTTTTAGAGTCCAGATGAGATTTTACTTGGTGGTCTGATTTCTTTCCTGGAACCCTAATAACTTTGTCAACAAAAAATATTTCTTTCTGTAAACTTAAGCAAGAAACATTTTAACATTTTTTAGCAAGTTGAATTAAGTAAAGGGAAGAAGTGGTTATAACCAGAGGACTCCACGTTATATGCACAGTTTGTGTATGTGCTGCCGAAGCGAGCACAATATGCACAGTTTGATGTGTCTCGTTAGCATTTGTATGATGGGAAAATATTTTACTGTTGATGGCACTTCAGTATTTAGCCTTTATAATTTCATGTTTTTCTTTTCCCTAAGCCTTTATTATATATATATATGTATTTTTTAAAAATAAAGGGAAATATTTCTTATCGTACTTAAGTATCATCCTATCTCAAATGAAGAAAACATAACCGAAAAGACAGATAACTACTATACATTAGAAACTCTAATAAAGAAAACTAAAATGAAAACTAAAGTATTCAAGGCGGAAAGAAGGCTAGTTGTCCTTAGAACTTAGGCTTGTGAAATTTAGAAAAGAAGGTACTTGGCTTTGTTGTCAGTGTTTCCAACAAAACGGTTGATGATAATATGGATAATGATAGTGCTAGAAATTAGCACAGATGTAGAAATAAAAGGAGGACGCATTCAGTGTTTCAGTGTGCTTTACTGGTATTTTTGGGTGAGTGGAGTTTTTCAAAAAATGATGTTTTTTTGCCTTCTAAGTTATTCTTAGCAATTTGGATATGCTAAGGACTGTAAATGGGTGAAAATTTGCAAAGGTCTTTAGGATTTTTTTTCTACACTTGGTTTTTTCCATCACTTAGTCTTTCATTAATCTTTGAGATAGAAACAATGTAAAAGATAGGAACTTTAAATAAATAAAGTGTTATTTAAGGTAAGCTTTTTTGTTTTTTGTTTTTGGCGGCAAAAAGAGCAGTTTAGGAAAAATAAAACTGCTAACATTATATTCTTTATACAATTTGAAAAACACTTGTATTTAGATTTGCTACATTAACCAATATAAGACTATCCTTGAGAAATTTTTTAGTCCATTAAAATACCGAATCTGGCATATTTGAAGATGATAACTTGAAGGCAACTTTCTGATCATTTTTTTTACTTTGTAACTCTGTTCTTGAAATTGACAGATTAAACAATTCTTAGAACACTCCCCCCCTTTTGAATTTCTATTTTAACTAAACACATTTTGAATATTTTCCCACATCAGTACATATATATCTAAGAGATTTAAGCAACTTACATGGCCCTAAATAATAATTTTATTTCATTTTACAGTAAGGTATGGCAATACTGCACTAACATTTTACAGACTGAAAGTGACCTGAAATGTATCTACTTTTAACAGTGATGGTGAGCCAGTGACAAGAGTCTTAGTTACCTAGTAACATTCTTTGTTGCTCTGGTCATAAAAAAGCAAAGAAACAATAACTCTGATTAAGTACTGACTGTCATCTCTGCTCCCCTCTCCCTAACCTATTAAACAGGTTGGGTTATATATTCTGCAGATTTTTTCCTTTCCTTACATAGCATTTTTTTACTTGCATAAATGGTCACATAATGGCGTGACTTATAAACACTTTTACTGTTTAATGTTTTCTCCTGACAGTGATCCATGATTAAAACAGTGCAGAATTTCTCAGTATCTTCTTGTCTGGTTTTCTCTCCCATTGTCACAGTCTGTAAGACCTTGAGAGGAGAAAGCTTTATAATCTGACAGGTCATCTCTTCATTTGCATCTTGCCTGGCTGGGTCTCAGTTAAGTGCTGATGGTAGTAAGGTGAGGTCCTTCCAAGACATCCTAATACAGATTGTTGTGCTATAGGTGACCCTCAAAATTGTAGTGGAAAGCAGGGACAAGACTTGGCTGGTTCACATGGCCTCCAGTGGTTATGCAGAATTTGGCAAAGGACTGGCAGCCATGTCATTTTATCCACTAAGCTCAGTAAATAGGGCTCTTTTGCATTTTAAGGACTGAGATAGTTAAGGGACTGTGCTTGTGGTGGGTATGTATGGTTTATGTTTCTATACCTATCTATGCATGCATATAAATGTTTCAGAGAACTGCAGAATTATAATTGGTAGATGTATATTGAATGTCGATTATGGACATCTTACTATTTTAACACAATGTGGGATGGACGCTCCAAAAGTAAGTGCCTGATATGTATGAAGGCATCTGTACTGTGTAGCGTGGGCGTTAGAGGTTTAAACGACCACTTGATTTTAGGTGTCTTATCCTTGACTTAGGGCTTCATTTCTCTTGCTTTTCAAAACCCTGTTTTAGAGCAATTAATGGTTTCCTTTTAGACTAAAACAAAAAACAAATAAATCTTAATAAAATACTTTTATTGTAAGCTATATGTTTTAGCTAGATGTGATATTATACTGTTTGATGACAGTAACTTCCTGTTCTCCATAAACATATATGAATTCACTAAAACGAAATTTTATACACTCTCTGAAGTTTTATGGTTTCGCTATTGTGACATTGAATTTATTGTCTTATAAAAAGTTTACTGAGATATTCTGTCATTTTCTTTCAGGATAGCTTTTTCTATTCACTGGTCTATGACCCCTCAGTGAAAACACTATTAGCTGACAAAGGTGAAATCAGAGTGGGACCTAGATACCAAGCAGACATTCCAGAAATGCTCTCAGAAGGTATGTTTTCTTTTGAGTTTCATGTCCTATGATAACATGCACTGTATCTTGAAACTCACACATTGTTTTCCTCATATAGGAGAAACAACTTCTAGGCTAAAGTTTAAAAGGTATAAATTCTTCCAGTTTTACAAATGCAAAAAAAAATAACAAAGGATAATACTTTATTTAATCGGTGTTTCACTTTTGATTTTATATTTTTATGAGTTTTGGGGCTTTTTCGTTCTTTTTATTTTAGAACAAATTTAGAAACGCTCATGTTGTTGATATTGCGTTTTGATGTGCGCGCCCCTGCCTTGAGATCCCAAGTGCCCCTACGCCCTGTGTCTCAGGAGGCCCTGGAATCCGGGGAGCAGTTACATTCTGGTGGGGATTCTGATGGACCTGGGTAGTTTATGTACCGGAGAGATTGAAAATCTCTTTGCATTTTAAAAACATCTTCCATAACTTCATTATCACTGGTTTCAGAAGTAAAACATTACCGTTAAAAAATAAAACACAAAATAAGGACATGTATAACACAGGAAATGAACACCATCCCCTTTCCTCCTTCATTCCAAACCCGTATGTAATCTCTCTGATGAGATAGGGTGTGTTTGTTTTGTCCACACTTTGGCTTAGATTTCCTCCAGGAGTGGTCCATGCGCAGCGGCAGGTTGCACGTGTTACTCTGCAGCTGCTTATTTCAGTTAACAGCGTGAACTCAGCATCTTTCCCCACAAGTACAGTGACTTCGTTCTTGTGGTGACTCTTCAGCTCTTGTATTTGCATAGATGCATGGTAATTTCATTCTCCAGTTTCCTATTGATAGCCTTTTATTTATTTATTTATTTATTTATTTAAAAAATATTTTCTTTATTTATTTTTTGAGACAGGGGAAGGGAAGGAGAAAGAGTGGGAAAGAAATATCAATGTGTGGTTGCCTCTCATGCGTCCCCTGCCGGGAACTGGCCTGCAACCCAGGCATGTGCCCTGACTGGGAATCGAACTGCGATACTCTGGTTCACAGGCCCGCGGATAGACTTTTAGATGTTTAGATTCTTTTGTATTGACATATGATGCTGTTAGAAGATCTATGCATATACTTGTGCTGCGTAAATATTTTTCAAGCATAACCTCTTGGAAGTGAAATGGTTATATACATTTTAGACATTGAAAATGCTTCCTTGCCATTCAGAAAAGCTGTTATTAAGTTGTAAATGAGAAAACCAGATGCTGTTGGCAGCACTGATTATGAGGGATATTTTCCCCTTTCATTTTTCCTTTCAAAATTTTCTCTCCCGTTGTCTTCATTTTTAAAAATTTAGAATTTGACCCTGGCTGGTGTAGCTCAGTGGATTGAGCGTGGGCCTGCGAACCAGACTATCGCGGTTCTATTCCCAGTCAGGGCACATTCATGGGTTGCAGGCCAGTTCCCAGCAGGGGCCAGTTCCCAGCAAGGGGTGCGCCAGAACCAACCACACATTGAAAAGAAAAAAAAGAAAAAAAAATTTAGAATTTGAGATTATGCTTACCTTTGTTATCTGTAACCCTTTTGTAAATTTCTTGTGCATTTCTACTTGGTTATTTCTCTTTTTAGATATTGGCAGGAGTTCTTCGAAATATTAAAGATAAACAAATACAAAAGTATTTGTCTTTTGTCTACAAGTATTGCAAGCATCCTACCACCCATTTTATTGAAAACATTTTAATAGTGATTTACATATATATTTTTTACTTTTGTCATACAGGAGTTTAGGATTTATTATTAGTCTTTCCTTTAAGGCCTTTGTAATTTGCATTCAGAAAAAGGCCTCCATTTTTATTTTTGCTTTCTGATTATTGAAGGATAGGAACTTTTCCATAGGCAGGTTTTTCTCTGTGCCCCGCCTTACTGCTAGAAAATGTATGCAGAAAAGTTAAATCAACAGTTACTCAGGAGAGAGTTTGTGAACATAGCACACATCGCTGTCAGTGGTGGGCGGGGGGATGGCCGTGCATATGCCAGGCTGCAGGCTTCTGCATTTTCATGAACTTAAATACCGGGAAAGGTCAGTCAATAATGATTAAGCTTGCAGAACAGAACACTGTGTCTGTATTCAAATGTTCATTGGATGTTTTGTAAGTAGACTATACGTCGATTTATTATAGGCTGAGAGATTGCATTTATTTACATTCTGATCTGTGCAAATCAGCTTGTCTTCCAGAAATAATTTTGGATGTTTGTGGCCCTTAATGTTTGATGTTAGACATAATTATATCACTGTACCTAAGTGTTCACTAACTATTTATTTATTTATTTTTAAAGATTTTACTTATTTATTTTTAGAGAAAGGAAGGGAGGGAGAAAGAGAGGGAGAGAAACATCAATCTGTGGTTGCCTTTCAAGGACCATCTCCAGGGGACTGGGCCCACAACCCAGGCACATGCCCTGACTGGGAATCAAACTGGTGACCCTTTGGTTCATAGGCTGGTGCTCAATTCACTGAGCCACATCAGCCAGGGCTAAATATTTATTATTAAAAAAAGACTTGATTTAAAAATTTTACAAATAGTGCTGCATTGGGTATAATGGATAATGTTATACTCTGGATATAACTGGAAAATGGATTTCTAAAAGTGTCGTTGCTAAATCAGGGCATGTGTGTTTGAAATTTTTACAAATTGCCAAACTGTCTTCCAGGCAGTTGTTTTTTTTAATAGGAGGATTTTTTTCCCCCTGTTTTTGAGGGGGGAAAAACATATAAGTTAATTAACATATAACCTATGTTGTAAGTGCATTTTGCCACTTGTAGTGTATAGTTCTGTGAGTTTCAGACAAATGTATATGCTCCTAGTGCAGTTGTTTGGCAAGCCCACCTGTCCCCAGACCAAGTCTTGCATCCCTGAGCTCTCTGATCTCTCCCTTCTTCGAGCTGTGCAGACCTGTTGTTCAGGTTATCTGTTCTGCTGTTTGTATTATTTGACTTAAAATTTTGTACTGCCTGGATCACTGATTTTATGGTTCTCCCTTGAGTACTGAGCACAAGCCTAGGCGTTTAAAAAGTCTAGAAAGTTTTGTGTACTGTTCACACAAAGATAAATGCTGAACAAAGTAAGGAAGCTGGGATGTTTCAAGTAGCAGTGGGCAGAAAAATCAAATCACGCGATCTCACAAGTTCCTGTTTACCCAAAAAACTATTTAAACGTAGTATTTGCCCCTGAAAAGCCAAAGTCTAGTGAGAGTGATGTAATTTGGAAAGCATTATCTACCTAGCTTAGAATCTTAAAAAATACTATTTTGGGAAACAAAACAAGACATAAAAGACAATAATTCTATAGTGCTGCTAGGTATGAGGAGTGAATCTTACCCATTTATGGCACTGAGGGAGTTATGCTAGCTCTCTGATAAAGACATTCTTTGTATTTAGAAAATGGGACTAAAATGTTTGCTAATATAATAGGTCTTAGAGTTCATTAATGAGTATTTTAATTGCCTTTAACATAATGTTTCTCTTGCTAATCTTCTGGGTGAGTGGGTTACAGGTTTTATTTAGGTGACAGAACCCTTTAAATGAAATGTTACATAATGCGACCTTAAATAATATAAGAAAAATTAGGTAATTGTGAATGAGGTTGGGGGAGAAGGCTACATTAAATCTCTTAAGGTGCTTCAGGGGACCTCAGGATTCAGTTACAAGTTGAAGGCTGCTAGTTGGTATTCCACACCTCTTACAACCCCACCTCTTCATTACATGGTCAAAATCCCCAAATAAAATGTGCAGTTAGAAATACTTATGATGAAGTCCTTAGTAACATAGCATAATAAAGGTATGCTGCTGTATTCTCTTTGCTTCTTCCCAGTTTTTTAAATCTTAAAAATTATTTTATTGCAATAGGAATTGTGGTAGATATGCAATTACAGCGGAAACAAAACTAATGGTGCCTCAGATCATCCCTTTTTACTCACTGTTAACTGCTGTTATTAATTTAACATATTCTCCCAGACTGTTACATAAATATTATATAGAGATCCATGAAAGTACAGTCCATGCAGTTTCATGTGTTAGAGATACAAGTTTATTTTATCTATCTCTTATTACATGTTTTATAGCAGGGCCAGTTTTTCCTTACTATTCTTTACAATTTCTTACTGGAGAGGTCTAATCTCATAGATTTCTTTTTCTTACTATTGAAGTTTATCTCAATTTGTCAGTTTCTTCTCTTCCAGATTTATTAGGATTCTGAGTGGAATTGTATTAATGTTATATAATACTTTGGGAAGTGATTGATTGTTTTATAATATTGAGCAGTACGTGGGACTGGTTTTGAGGTTTCCGTTCTGTTCCATTGGTCTGTTTGTTCCTGCTCTAATAACTCACTGTTTTAATTGTAGAGGCTTTGATGATGTATTAATATCTGGTAAGGCTAATTCCTGTCTCATTTTTCAAAATGAGTTTATTATCAGCTAAATTGAATATCGGGGGAAAAAACACCTTCTTTCCTATATTTATTGGGATTACAGTTAATTTTTAAGTTATTTTAAGGACAGCAGACATTTTAATGATATTGAAACATCTCAGCCAGAAACAAGGGATATCTTGCCCTTTGTTTAACGCCATTTTGGGGTCTTGTGGGAGTTTGTTTCTTTAAACAATAGATTTATTCACATATGTTTTATACATTACTTGTTAAGCTTATTTTTTAAAAGATTTTATTTATTTATTTTTAGACAGAAGAGAAGGGAGTAAGAAAGAGAGGGAGGGAAACATCAATGTGTGGTTTCCTCTCATGCTCCCCCTACTGGGTTCCTGGCCCACAACCAGGCATGTGCCCTGACTGGGAATCGAACTGGCAGCCATTCGGTTCATAGCCCTGCACTCAATCCACTGAGCCACACCAGCCAGGGCATTAAGCTTATTTCTAAATTTGTAATTTGTTTGCTTTATTTGTAAGTATTCAACTTTAATAAAGAAAAACATCATATTTTTCACCATAATTGAAGAAGTCACTTTGGACTCTTATTTCAGCCTAAAATATTC